TAAGATGCGAACCTTGCGAATGCACTAGCAAAATGTCTGCATTCTCCTCTCATTGGACATGCATTGCAATTTGGTTTGCTTTTTGTGCAGAAGACCTGCATAAATAATATTTTTCTTCTTGGCTTTAGCATGTTTATCGGCAAGGTGCTTAAATTAAAATTTAATATGTATATGTATGCAACATACCTTTCCGAATGTAATCATCTGGTAATGCAGCTCATACCTATTAGTAAATATTGCAACGAATTAATAACAATTAACTCTAAATAACATATTTTTTTTTAGTTTTCTTGCTAATTGTATATAAGCAAATTAAGGAGTCAAAATAATAAGATGCAATGGAATTTGTCTTTACAGAGTTCGTTGATCAAGTTTGCACAATCTGGGCCATAGATATTTTTGAATGGATTCCAGCACTGGATACCTGTAGGTACAAAATATTAGTTCTGTTGTAAACACCAATAGTTTATATCAGTTGTCTTTTTATACATGATACTCACAGTTCTAGAAGATGCAACTGCAGCGACTCAGGCAGTGGCTGAAGTGGAACCCATCCAAGTCTTACAGCTATGCGTCCAACATTTGTGTCAACCTGTCATAGTATCATAAAAGTTAGACAATGTTCCATTTGTTTTAGATATATTTGCATCTTATTACTAACTTACTGGAAACGCAAGGTGGTGAAGTGTAAGAAGTCGCACACACTCCACACTTTTCAAACCCAGTCCTCGTATGCTTAGCAGATACTCTCTAGAAGAATAAATCTTGTTTAGCAACTTTTAAGTTTTATATGAAAAATTAAGTATGCTAACAGTATGCCAACACAGTTGTGGCATATTTAGATGATGTGTTACAAAATTATATCAGTATTTCGAGGAAACTATTGGAATTTACTTTATGACTTACTTTGCTTTGTCAGGTGGAACATCTCTCAGCCATTCCAGATCAATGCCTCCGTGTTCTCTAACAATTCGGTTAAGGAAATCCTACATGGATTGTCAACTAAAATTACTTGATGTGAAAAGCTTGCTATCTGTGGTTAGTACATTTACAAATTTGAGATTTTTTGTGATGGAATTTAAATTTTTTACCTTTATTCGTTCAGCAAGCATGTTGTTCATACCTCGTTCCTTGATGGTATTGGCAATCTTATTAACATCAGCGCATCTTACAGCTTCCCAATCCAATGAGTCCATGTTGTTTTCTGGTCTTTCTTTCCTTCCATTCACTTCCACCTGTCTCCTTAAACTATCCCAGTCAAAGTCTTTTTTTTTATCCTTTGCAACCTTTCTACCTTTTGCTTTTGAAGTAGCATCATTAATTTCATTGAGTTCTTTGCCAAATACATGGTCATGCTTATTCAAGTCTGACACTGATGTATTCGGCTGAATGTTTTCTCGGTTATCACATGCATTATTGCTTTCTGTAGCGCCTTGGGTTTCTCCTGACAGGTTTGACAAATTCTGATGTTGCATTTCATGCTTTTGTCCTTTGGCCAGCAATTCAACAACTGTGGAATCTCTAGATAGCTCACTTTGATGTTGTTCACTTAAATTCTGGTCTTCTTGCATACTGTTGCTTGCTTGCTTAGTTTCACTGGAAGAACTTGGTGCTTCTTGAACACTAATGGTCAGCTTAGTTGTATCTTTAGTTTGACTTGTGAGTTCTGGTGTAACAGCAATTTGTTCTACCACACCCTCTTTATTATTTTTTACGGAAATGCCAGAAGATCCTGTTTCTTCTCCAAGCATCTCATAGCATGCAACTTCCACTGCTGAATCTTGGGTAAGATATGGATGGAAAGTACTGGGTGGTATATTTGACTCTCCTAAAAAGTCTTTAGGGCTGTTTAAATCTTCCACTTTTTGTCTTGGGCTGTCATAAGCCATGGTTTGGAATTGGTCACTTTCATGCTTTGAGTTCTCATCAGATGAGATATTGACATCTCCATGGTTGTAAACTTTATGAAGCTTGTAAGATCCTGCCATCTGTAAAAGCTCCACAAAAGAAGTACATTCATTAAAGCTGTTGAGTGCAGACCCACGAGTGAGATCTGCTGCCTCTGAGTTGTTATCAAAGCTTGATTTGGTTCTTTCAGCATTTTCAGCAATTGAAGAATCCATGGAATTTTGAGATGAAAGTAAATAATCGGTTGCTATTCTACCTCCTACAGAACATATTGTCTCTGTTGCAGTGCTCTCTGTGGTTGATCTGTTCAGAATTGTATCATAGCATGTTTCTGAATCACTTACACAAGAATTCAACAGCTTGCATTTTGACTCATCTATCGAGTTGACAGTACAGCTGTTTCCAAAAGATTCATTGCTGCTGATGACTTCTTTCTCTTCATTAATCTCGGTATTGTGGAGGGTCATGGAACTCTGGTCACAAGCTGGTTGATTTGACATCTTCTCAGTCCATTCTACAGTTTCTTCGGGATCCAGTATGTACACTGCTTGTTCTTCAGTCACTGAACTAGTCCCTTCCCCATAGCATGGTTTCTGGTCCTTTGACTTGAGCGGAAAATGTGCAGCAAGTGACATAAATGCAGAACTGCAAAAAGGTGAAGACAGTAAGATAAATTTCCTATGTCCCTTTCCTTTAATTTCATTATGTTGGGCTAATATATATGTCAGAAACACTAGTTCACCTAGAAAGATGGTCTGAAACATTCTGAGTAAGAAAGACTCCAACAACCGAGTCCACAACGGATCCCTTCCATTTAGAGAAGCGTCTGTCCCCTGTTCAAAAGGCATTTTGCTGGTATAATATGAACTTGTAACAAACAAAACCATTGTGTGAAATAACTCAGGTAGCATTTTAAGATAGAACAAAGCACTTAAAATTTCCATAAGTGCATGCATTAAAGTTTCCTGAAGTTCTTGACATGAACATATAGATTCATGAAATTCACATTGGAAGAGTAAAATTTTCAAAGCCAATTTCAGCAAAGTTTTCTTCATTTGGCTTAAAGCAGAGCTTCCGTTTTTGCAGAATACACATTTGGTTTTGTCTGCCTTTAAATTACAATTACATGGAGGCAGATGTCCTTTCCATTACATTAAGATGCTTGTCAGGTTGAGCACAAAATTTTTGGAATTTAGCTTGGTACACAATTTGACTGCCATCTATTCTAACCTTAACTAAATTTTGTAGTTACTTTTCCCCTGCTATTGGATATTATCTTATTTGGACTGTAGAATTGTATCATGTTATTTAGGCTGTACAACGGCGGTTGACATTTTAATGTGGTGTCAATGTATCAAGAACATTTAAGATGCTCCAAATTCAGTGTGCCCTGATTCTTTTTTCCAATTAAGCTTTTACCTATACCCTATCTATATATTTTGGCTTGTTCTGAAAACTTATATGGTATTGCCAAAGAAACCGGAAAAGAAAAAATATAAAATATAGAAGGTTCAGCATTCTCTCTTTTGATAGTGGGATGATCACAATAGTATTGTGTGTTCTTCTTTCTAGACTTTTGTGGTTTGTAGCCATATTACATTATGGAAATCCTAATAACCCATGCATCTAAATTCCTAGATAAGCATTTGGGATTCTCACAAGTCTGAAGTTTATATAGGGAGATGTCAGGAAAAGGAATGCTACCTTGCACAAGATGCATGCGAGCTATAAACGAGTCTACACGACCATGAAACACTCTCCGTTCTTCTTCCCACCATTTTGTGTTCTCTTCATCTGTTCCATCAATGCCTTGACTGTTGATATTTTCCAATAGAAGCTTCCATACTCTATTAGTTTCTTCATCAAGGTCTACCTTAGGCCGTGGACGCCGTTTCTTTACAAGCTCAAATGAGCCATGAAATGGTACAACTGTGCCATCTCTGTTATAAATGACAAGTGCATTCTGCTCTTGGTATCTCATGCTGTAAGGGACAAGGGCGTTCTGCTCTTGGTGATCGATGTTGCTACTTTCTCTGTTGATGTCTAGTTTCTCTAATTGCTCAGTGAGTTCATCAATGGAGATCATTCGTGTCCATGTTAGTTCTGGAAGAGCACCTGCATCAAATGGTTTGTATGAAATTAATTAGAACATTTTGGCAGAATGGTAGCATTAAAGAAATATAATAGACAAAAATTTCCTGTTGGACTGGATAATAAACGGTTAAAGATTGCATTAAGTACCTAATGAGAACTGGAGGTGGTTATACAAGATGAACTTTTGCTGCTTTTGGGCTTCATTAGTACTGGTGGATGCAGAATTGAAAAAAGAGTTTCTCTTCTTAGTTCGCTTCTTTCGAGCCAATGTCTCACGCACCTCTGCTACTAGTGCTTCTATACATGTGTGAGGTCTCTGTGGATTCCCAACTTGTTGCATATCACAATCCAACTGCCCTTGGTTGCCTGGGTAAGTTGGTTGCATTCCACATTCTGCCAATCTGGTTAGAGAAGCCAAATCTCGAACCCGAGTAAGACCCTTGGATCTCTTTTTTGTCACACTCTCTGTTGGAGTTAAAGCTAGGATACCCTCAAAGGTTTTCTGTTTATCTTGAAGATTGCTTCTTGCCTCTCCAAGTGTTGCAATGCCACCAGCATTCCATTGAGGAGTGGAAACAGAGTTATTGATTTTGGATACAGAAGGATTTGCTTTGGTATCATCTTGATAGCATGTTGTTTCCAGTGTGACATCTTTTGCAGCAGTCACAGAGGATGATGTGCTAGATGTAGAAGAGTTTTGCCCTTTCTCAGTTCTCTTTTTCTTGTGAATTTTTGGGACCCAAGGGTTTTGATATGCTTGTAAAGTATTATATTCAATTCCAATCAGATTTGAGTTGCTGGCTTCTGCATGCTCAACTGCGTTGGAATACTTTCTCTTTGATCTCCATGCTTGTCCTGGTTCAATAAAGATTGTGCAGTTGTTGCATTTGGATTCATTTGTGATTCCTGGTGATTGTTGAGTCTCTATTTGCAACATCATCTGTTTAGTAGCTTCCTGCCCAATATTTGCAGCCACTTGACCTTCACATTCTGTATTATCATCCTTTCTGAAACTAGCATTATGTTTTTGTCCTTGGGGACTAGTCTCAGTGGGAAGAGGTACCTGTCCTTCAGGCAATGACGTGTAATCTTTTAGATTTTGATTCACTGAACGGCTGAGATCATAGGCAATGCCGACTTGTGTATTTTCTATGGCCAATTCAATTCCTTCATTGAGTTGTACAGTTGATTCTGACTGAATTCCTCTTCTATAGAAGTCACTTGCCTGTGATGCTCCATCTAAATCAAAACCGGACCTGCATGTAGACTTTTCATCTCTATGTTGCCCTTCTATGTCAAATTTTAAGGTCCTTCTACATGACTTCTTGGTAGGCTCAAGTACTCTTAGATCCTTGTTTTCTAGTGGTACTTCTGTTGGGGAAACAGTTGAGTCTTTGCTGAGTCCCTGCTTTCTCACATACTTCCTCTTAACTCTTGGCTTTTTTTTAGAATCAGCTGGCGTTGGAGTCATCACTTCAATCCATTTGCTGAGGTCCACGATCAATTCTGATTTACCGAATTCATTTCCCAGTGACTCTGAAACTGAACCGAAACAAATTGACTTGGAGTGTTCATCTCTAGACTGTCCTGCATCAGAAATTCTACATGATTCATTGGTAGGTTCAGGTGGTTTTGGATCAATGTAGTTTCCCGCTACTGCTTCATCTGGAGAAGATGTTGAGTCTTTGTTAAGTCCCTTTCTCCGCACATACTTCCTCTTAACTTTTGGATTTGTTTTAGACCCAGCAGGCTTTGGTGTCACTGGCTTTAGAGTTGTCACTTCAGAGCCTTCATCGAGCTGTAAGGATGATTTTGATTGAATTCCTCTTTCAAGGATGTCCTTTGTCCCCGATTCTGAAACTAAATCAGAGGACTTGCAAGTAGAGTTTTCCTCTCTAGTTTGCCCTTCATTGTCAAAGTTTAAGGTCTTTCTGCATGATTCCTTGGAAGGCTCTAGTGTCTTTGGATCAATAAATTCTCCAGCTGCCTGTGATGGGGAGCATGTTGGATCTTTGTTCGTTCCCTTCTTTCGCTCATACTTCCGCTTACCAGAACCAGCAGGCTTTCTGATTGCTGATTTTGGAGTTTTAAGTTTGTCTTCTTTGGCCACCTTTGGCCTGTGCTTTTTCCTCCTCGGTTTAAGCTGGGGTGTTTTGTTCAGGTCAATACCATGACTTTCTTGCTTGTCAGGGTTGTGATTCTCCTGTAACTGTGTGGAAGCAGCTGCAACTGATGTATCTGTATGAGGCTGGAAGAGTTCTTTATTGCACCAGATACTGTTGGGTTCTCTTTCAGCAGCAACTTCATTATTCTGTGCATCTCTTTCTGGGTTTGTTCTGTCATCTGTAGGTGAGTTTTGTAATTGAGAAACCTGGTTGCTATTCCCTCTCTTGGCTTTGTCTGGTGTAATGGGAGTAAACTCGGAGACTGCCCTTCCGGAGATTGCATTTGGCATTGTTCCCGGACAGAAATTTAGATCATAGGAATGCTGGCGAGGAATTGAAAGTTCATCTGCAGAGCACCATTTTCAATATTACAGATCAGACATTGAATGAAAGGCTACAAAAATTAGTTTGGTCAATCTAATGCTTGGTACTAGTCCAGTAGGGCATTATTGGCCAATCGTTAAATTCTAAATTCTAAATTCTATTGTTTTAAGGCCAGAATATTCACTACATCTTTCATGAGTTTATTCGCAGAAACAAAAATTAGTGTTTCCTATTGAACTGTTTGTTCGAGCATACAAATTAATGGAACCATTTTTCAACATTCATTATAATGCTCAAGGAATAACACCTAAAATGTTCAGGACATGTACAAAATGCAGTGGCTGTAACAGTTATGAGTACTGGAAAGTCTCTTGGTGCATATGGTGAAATTTGACACTTGATTTTTGAGCCGATTCTCTTGTGTCCTAAAATCGCCGTTCCTACATCTTTGACTTGAATTGAAATCTATCCTGTCTGTTAGTGGTGCAACTGTGTGAAAACCGTTTTGTAAAGAAATGAAAGTATTGTTGCATAGAGCAATCAGAACAAACTTATTTGTGCTTACACTTGGACATTTCTCGATTAGAATTGCCACTATCCCCCACTGCCAAGCTGCTATACACTGAGGCTGCATTCGCAAGAGCTAAAAGATCTGTACAGGGCACATTTTTCCATCCATCCATAGCGTCCAACGGAAACTTTCTGCATGCTTCAGCGTTGTTGTGGTTACCCAAGATGCCCGCAGCTGAAGTCGTGTTCCAGGTATGAACACATTTATTAATATCTGCATCATCCTTATATGCTTGAGGTCCCTGAATACAACCACAAGTATAGCAATCTGACCCCAACCATTTTTCTTGCTCCTGCTGGTTTACATAACCAGCCGGAGATTTCGGCTGAATGGGCCGGAAAGGGGTTGCTGGAATCCATGAACCCTGGTTATCACACTCATGTCCTTCCGCTGGTGTGCCGCTATCCATTCCCTGCCTGTTCAATCTTTATTAAAATTGTCAACTTCTTCTCCCCCTCAACTCACTCTTTCTGCCAAAAATCTGCCTTTCACATTTGCTGCCCAAACTTCAGTCTATCGAATGGCATAAGTTGAATTTTGCAGTTTAACTTGCAAAATCTCATTTCCCCTCAGCCTCATTCAGTAGAAATGTCTTGCTAAAATCAACTGAAAAGAAAAAAAATAAAAATTAAGTAGTTGCTGAAAAAGAAAAAGAAAAGCTACAGTGTTCTGTTTGAGCTGAAACGGAATATCAGTCTCAGTTCACTTTATGCCTTAAAACACTCCAAAATCTAATAGATCCATCTCCGTTCTCTCTGAAGTGTCAAATTAAAAGAGTTACAGAATTCACCTTTTCCATTTCAGATAATTAAGATCATACAATCAATTTTTACTCGTTTTACATAGTTTTAGATTCATTATCAAGAGTAACAGAATACAAAGAAAATCCCTACGGATTCTCTCAGTTATTCCCTCATATAATGCCACTTTATTCTCTTCTGTTGCTCATCTACTCCAACAGAAAAAAAATAAAAAATAAAAAATAAAAAATTATTAAAATTAAAAATTTATAAAAGCTTCATATATTTACCTAAGACCAGAGTCAATGGTGGAGATCTGGTTCTTTCACTTGAAGCTAATGTTTAAAGTGAGAGAAAATTTTCACCAAGAAAAGACCCAAACACTATGACTCCAGCTTTTATAATATAAACGCCTTTCTCTTTAAACAGATAACTCCTTTTCCCGGTAAAGAACTTAACTTTATTATTATATTTATGTTTTTATATTTTTATATTTCATAAAACTATTTTGATGTTTGTGTATTAGAAGCTTTTGTCCAAGGGTATAATGGTCCTGTAAAGGTGGCCAACGACCTCGGCGGGTGAAGCGTCAGAGCAAGACCCAAACACGTGACCCAACAGAAAATCAATGGAGTTTACGTGGCGACACGCGCTTGACACTTGGCATATGAGAGCGTGTCAAAAGTCAATTTTGGGGTTAGTTTGTGTTTGACGCCGTCAGGTGCGGTAATAGTGTTGGCGATGAGACCGAGAAATTTTGCTTTCTTTATTTTATTTGTTGTTGAGTTCCAGGTAACGTTTTTTTTTTTACTGTTCCATCTGTAAACGCCGTTGGTGGTCCCCTCTTCACTGGTACAATCAGCCATCACGCACGATTTACTATTTATGGGTTCGTGCAATTAACAAGTTTTGGTTGGAGAAAGTTACGAGTATGTTTGGTATTTCTGTCCATATTCTTAATCTTATTTTCTAAATAATGTTTGGCATATTAATTTAAAAATATTATTCTATTTTTTTAATTATTTTTAGATCCCATAAGATTATTAATTTTATTAAATACACCCTAAAAAAAATTTAAAAATTATCAAAAATACTCCTGCAACCCATACTTACCAGATTCCGACAACCACCATTGGTGGTAGCCAAAATCTATACAACAGCCTACCCACCGACAAAAAATGATCGAAAGTTCACCCATCTGGCCTTTTCCAGCCAAATCAAGGCTAGATCTGGCCATGAGAAATAGCCGTCGTTGAGGTCAACGACGGCCAAATCTTGGCCATCGTTGACGAAAAACGATGGCCATATCTTTGGCCGTCGCTGACTGCCAAAGATGTCATTTTGACCTTTTTCGGCCGTCACGGCCACAACAGGCCGTAGATCTGGCCTTTTTCGAAGAGATCCGTGGTGGATCTGGCCGGAAAAGGCCATAAGGACGCGGTACGACACAGATCCGATCGGTCTGTGTCATAACGCGATTTTTCTGTCAGATTCCGACGGTGGTGGCCAAAATCTCGCACTGTAGGTGGTGGTGGTGTTTTTGTCATTTTATATATTAGGGTATTTAATTAAATTAGAAAACCTAGGGGCTTTTTCATAAATTTTTAAATTTTACCTCGTAATACTTCTCTATCCAACTACCCAATATTATTCCCAAAATCCTATCCAAAATAATAAATCAAACTCACCCTATGATTTTAATGAGACGATGGTGGCACATTTGTCTTTCTCAAATTATTTATAAATAAAAGGACATAATTTTTAATAAAATTTATAATTATTTTCTTGATTCTTCGAGCTTTGAATATTCACAATAACATATAAACGTGAACTTATACATTAAAACACAGTTATAATTAGTTAATTTTTTTTTTTTTTGCAAAAGTGATAATCAATTTCATTTAATGTATTGGTCTTTAAATATATTCTCGAACGTGTTAAGAAATTCAATAAAGTTTAGTTTATGATCTAATCTTACAAACTTTTTTTACAATCTCGACGTGACAGTTCGCAATTGAACAAACGAGACCCATAACGAGAATGTCGGATCTATTTACGAACTTTCATGTTAGGATTGTGAGAAAAAATTTATAAGATTGAGTTGTAAGTATAATATTATTCTAAGAAATTATAAAACAAAAAAGTTCTTTTAAGACAATATGATAAATATTGAAATAAATCAAAATTAATTAAATTTTGTAATTTGGTAGGTTACTCTTTCTTGTTTTGTAAAATGTTTCTTCAAGTGTGGGTGGTTTCTATAAAAATTGAAATCAAATATATTATAATTGATTTGTTTTAACATGTGCCTTTAACAGACAAAATCATTTGTTATTACAAACATTTTATTTGTAAAAAGATAAAACAAAAAACACATTTTCAATGCATCCATTTGTTTTAGAAGATATGTTAAGATAACTTATTGTAATTAATAAAATAAAATCTAAATAAATTTACAAATTTTAGGTTAATTAATATCATGGTACAAACGTTATATCCCGTATCGTCAATGTTAGTTAAATTAGTTGGTCAATTGAAATTACTGTCAAATAAAAACCCTGTCAGATCCCTAACTAACCCTTCTTACTTAAACGCTCAATGCTGTCCTAGAGCAAAGACAAAAAGTAAGCAGATAAGGTTGATGGTCCCACCATGAGCAAAGTGAAATTAATTGATTAATAAAATAAAAAATAGAATCTAAGGTTAGTTCCAACACCATCAACTCACTCACTCAATCTCATGCAAAAAGCCTTTTCATAACTTTTCAATTAAATCCAATTTTATAATATCACCTCGATGAAATTAAATATTATATTTATAATTTACAAAGTTCAAATTCATAATTTATAAATTTTTTATTATATATTCTAACATAATAAGTGAAAAAAAAAAAAAAACATGTCAATTATTTATCAAAATAAAGTTAAAATTATGTCAGAAAGAGTCTAAACATAAAATTGACATACAATATGAACTATGAAGTAATTGTTCTCTCGTAAGGAATTTGTTAACATAAATTTTGTTAGATTCGTTTTATTAAACTAAGATGATAGTTTATAAATGAATTCAATCAAACAATATCTTAACAAAATTACTTTCAAGATATTTTGACTAGAAAGCTATTGCTGTATAAAACATTAATTTATCTTTTATTATAGTTTAGCATATAAAAATTAGTATTTATTTCTTATAAAAATAAGTAAAATAAGAATTATGATAATCAATTTAGTGACATTGTTCAAATTGAGTAACATGTATTAAGTTATGTGTAATCCTCTTGTCAAGACATCTTGATATTAATTATGTCAAGACCATACTAATACATTGTTAGATTCATCTCATTGGATATGAGTTATAATTTAAATTATATTTTTTAACTCAAATCCAATACTTTATATTCATGATCTTGATAAATTATATAAGGATATTCTGACTAGAAAATTACGATATCTTTATAATATTATTATTACATCTTTGATACATTTATAAAAATAAGAGTGAATTAATCATCAATTAGCGATGTTATTGTGATTTTAATTATCAAATTAAAAATAAATGAATGATCAAACATTTCAAATAGGAATTTAAGCAAAACGTTTATGTTAAAAGATATCATCTCGCACATATATTAGATGACAAAGTTTATAACAAAGTGTTCAAATAAAAAGGACATCGAGACATGGCATAGGAAGAAGTTAGTTAAATTAGTTAATACTTTCGAATAAAAACGCTTTTTATCTGTATCTAGACGCCATTTGTTTGTCAGAACCATACAGAGAAAAAAGGCAAACAAAGGAAGTTGTTGGTCCCACGTGATGGAAACTAAAATTAATTCATTAAACAATAAAGACATATAACAGAAGATTGTTAAGTGGCTACATATTATGCTAAAAGGCTGCGAACCTAACTATCTAGTAGAATAGTAAATAAAATTTGAGTGTACATATTAAAGAATGTATATTATTTATAGTAAAAAAGAAATATCAATTTATTTTTTAATAATTGTAAATTATATATGTTAATTGAAAATCATTTACAAAAGTATCACTTAAAATAAATTAGTAAGACATATAAAAAAAAAAATGCTTCTTAATTTAGTCAAAACCATTATATAAGGTGTAAAGGATTCATAGATACTAGGAACAAATTCAAACGATAATAAAAATTATGAAAATGAATGATTTCGAAAAGTTTTAAACATGTGAAAATTTATTGAAAATTAGGAGATCAATTGACCTTAAGTTCTGTCTCTGAAAATCTTTTGATTTTAAGAGAATAAACTTCATATAATCTCAAAAGACAAAAATAGGTTTTAAAATTATATTAAAAATAATTTATTAAATTAAAATATAATAAAATTAAAAATTTGGGTAATGTGTCGATATTTTCAGTACGATGTTGACATTGAAGCCAATAATGGTCTAGTTTGGTTGCAGTAAACCAAGAAAGTTCGCTTGCACAATCTAGATTTTATAATTTTATTATATTATTAATTTAATTAAATAAATAATTTATAAAAAAATTAGAATTTAAGTTTAGAGTCATGCCCTATTTGCCAAAAGAGAAGGGCGATAGATGTAGAGCGCTACCAAGCGCTCAAAGACGAGGATGACAAGTTGCTTGAGAATAACTTCATTAGGGAAGCTCGTTACCCACAATGGCTGGCCAACCCAGTGCTCGTCACGGTAAGTGGCGGACTTGTGTGGATTTCACAGATTTAAACAAGGCTTGCCAAAAAGATAGCTTCCCCTTACCTCAGATTGATTAGCTGGTGGATGCGACCTCTGGGCACAAACTGCTTAGTTTCATGGAAGCATACTTGAGATACAATCAAATCTCGGTGTACAAGCTGGATGAGTAGTAGACCTTGTTCATCACCGACCAACGCCTATACTGTTATAAGGTAATGCCTTTTGGCCTAAAAAATTATGGGGCAACATACTAGCGGCTCGTTAATCAGATGTTTGTTGAACAGTCTAGAAATACGATGAAGGTATATGTCGACGACATGTTGGTGAAATTAGACGTTGTTCACCACCACGTCACACACCTTGACGACATGTTTGGAATCTTTAGGAAGTAGAAGATGAGATTAAAGCCCTTAAAATATGCTTTTGGGGTTAGCTCGGGAAATTTTTTAGGCTTCATGGTCAACCAATGCGGGATAGAGGTTAATCCCGAAAAGATTCAAGCACTGCTAAACATGAGCAACCCGATGAAGCCCAAGCACGTGCAAAGTCTAATAAGACAGATAGTCACCCTTAGCCAATTCGTGTCTCGAGCAATAGACAAGTGCCTACCGTTCTTCAAGGTACTCAAGGGCAATAAAAAGTTCGAGTGGACAAAAGAGTGCAAAAAAGCTTTCCAAGAGTTGAAAGGGCACC